ATTTCTTCTCCCAGCTTCGGCCACACTCTTTATTATGTAGATACATTTAGTTGTGGGCTCTAAAAGATTCTGTTATTCTACCTTATTGACCAGCACAACCAAACTGCAGAAACCAAACCAGAAACTTACAATGGTAGGGAGATGGGTTCGGGGTGGGGGGGGGCTCTGTCCTTCTGGATTTGGCATGATTATGCATATAAATGTTGGAAATTTTAAAAAATAAATTAATTAATTAAAATGTTGGAAAAAAATTAAAAAAATGTTTTCTCCTGGTGATAGCGTAAAACTGAGATATTCTATGACACAGGTTTTAGAAGGCATGTGAGACTTTGAAAAGCATTTAAAATTCCTCATTCCACCTATCTTTTGACAGAGGACACTAATCAGGAGACAGGAGGAGGTTTGCCTGGTTTATTTGCATATATTCATATTTAGATTTTTTTTTATGAATTACAGAAGGTAATTTGGGTAAGGGGCAACGCTAGGTGGCAAGTTCAGTTCCCCAGGGTGTTACTCACTTGTCCATGCCCCTCACCGAGTGTGGCAGTCATGTGCACACACTAGGTCAGTTTCCCAGGATACAGCATGTGGGAGGCAAGGTCTCGTTCTCACCCTACATGCAGTTGCTGTGCTACTTGGGCAAATCCTTTTACCTATACAGATCATGAAAAGGGGGTGAAATCTTAGCCCTGACTTGGGATTGTTGTAGGAACAAAATGAGACAGAGCATGTGAAATCCCTAGAAAATCACCTGCCACAAAGTCAGCCTGTAATGCACAGTAGGGGTTCTCTTTAGTGCCATCAATAAAGGAACCAGGAACATGGAAATCCACTTCAGGTGCAGGTGTAGGTATGGTTGTGTGGGGTAGTGGTGAAGCGTGCTTGTCTTTATCCCGGTGAAAGTGAATTCTTCTTGGAAGGGGCAGCTCCTGAGTTAGGAGCTGAAGGACTGGTAGGCTGAAGGTCACGATGTGTCTAGAGAAGCCAAAGTTGCTTATGCGATCAGGGGAATGAACCCCGCCAGGTGGGAGAGAGTTGCAGCCCCTGGGGGACTCATGCCCTTGGCTAGAAGAATGTCCACGAAAATTCCTCAGACAGCAGGTTTGCAAGTGGCTGAGTCTCTGGCTTTTGTTTGTCTAGAAAAAAGAGTATTTTTGAAATCTCTGTGCCTTTTTCTGTTCAATTTTGCTGTGAACCCAGAACTTCTCCAAGATAAAAGCCACATCTTAAAAGAGGATTTTTGCTTTTATCGTTGACGGATACACTCACTGAGTATAAAATCCAGGCTTGATAATGGGTGGTTTCTTTTCTTTCAGCACTTAAAAATTGTCCTTCTGTTCCTTCCAGGGGTACTGTTTCAGCAAGGTGAGAAGTCAGCTGTGTCACCCTGTATGCGGGGAACTTCAGGGGCTGTAAGAATTCTTTCCATCACTTATTTTCAACAATATGATAGTGCTTGGTCTTGATATGGTTCTCTTTGTCTTTATCTTGCTTGGAGAATTTTGAGCTTCCAAGATATATGGGTTTAAGCATTTCACCAAGTTTCCCCCCAAATTGTCCATTATTTCTTCAAATACTTATTCTCTCCTCTCCTGCTGGCACACCAATTACATGTCTGTTAGACCCCTTGATGTTTCCTGGGGCCGGAGGTTCTGTTCATTGTTTTCAGCCCCCTTTCTCTCTCGGCTTCAGTCTGCAGAATTTATACAGTACTGGCTTCAGATCAACCAGCCATTTCTCCCACTATCTAATCCAAAGCCCGCACTGTGGATTTCATCATTTCAGATACTGTGTTTTCATGTCTGGAATTTCCACTCCGGTCATTTCTAGACTCTATTCTCCATTCAGATTTTAAAATGTGTTCCCTCATTATATTTTTATGTTTCTTTAAATGTTTGAACATTTTAATGCAGCTCCTGGGTCTATTTCTATTCACTGTTTTTTCTCATGACTATGGGTCCTGTTTTCCTGCTTCTTCACACATCTGCTGATGTCTGGTTTTGTGCCGAACATCATGGATGCAATGTCGTGTGTCTGGGCTTTCTTATTTTCCTTAATAAAATAATGAGTTTCATCCTGCTAGGCAGTTAATTTACTTGCTGGGTGAACCTGATTCTTTAAAGACTTGTTTTAAAGTTATGCTAGAATGGACACGGAGTGACTTTCCTCTAGAAATAGATCAAGCCTACTTTGATGGCATATTGTGAGCTGAATGTTTGTGTATCCCTAAAAATTCATCTGTTAAGGTCTTGATGCCCAGTATGGTTGTATTTGGGAGGTAATTATGGTTAGGTGAGGTCATGAGGATGGAATCCTCATGGCGGGACACCAGAGAACTTATTCTCTCTCTTTCTCTCCCTCTTTCTCCACCAGGAAAAGACACAGTGAAAAAGTGGCGTCTGCAGACCAGGTGAAGGGCCCTCCCCCAAACCAGACCATGTGGGGAGACTTATGTTGGAATTCCAGCCTTTAGAAGTATTTAAGGCACCCTGTCTGTGGCATTCTGATGTGGCTGCCCAAGCCAACAGAGACACAACATGGCCTTCTGTGTCCCTGCTGAATGACCAACGTGGCCAACAAGCCTACTTCCCCATGACTGTCAGAGCTCAGATTATTGTTGCCACACTACTTGTCTCCCCTCCAAAGAGCATGTTCTTTTCTGGAAGCTTCTGCCACCTGCTCTTATCTTCATGGGCAGCTAAGTCTTTGCCTAAAATGCCAGATAGACCACCACTCATGTTTCTGGAGCACCCTCTTCTCCGGGACCCTAGCCTGAAAATCCCTTGCCTCCATGGCTTCTAATTCCAGCCTCTGTCCCCACAGCCTGGTGAGCCTGCCTGCTCAGTGTGGTTGCCTCACTGGGCTGTGGTCCAGGCAGAGCACAGGGTGACCAAGGGACTCCCGCCCTGCTTCATCCTCTCAGCTGGTTCTGTCTGTTGTCAGCATCTGAACATTCTCTGTCCCATAGATCCAGTGACTTAATGCCGGGGAGGGAGAGTCTCGTCCCAGTTTCTCCGTCATAGTCAGAAGCAGAGGTCCACACAGGTAATGTCTGAGAAATTTCCCATTTGTGGATTTCTGTCTTCTCTGTGAACTGATAGAAAATATCACCCCCCGAGTTTGCAGAAGGAGGGAGGGAGGAAGGCACAGGCGTGATGGTGCTCGCAGAGGGGAAGAGAGGCACTGAGGCAGTGGGGGGCCTTAGCATTTGAAGAACAGGTGTCGCGGGAGTACCACAGAAAATGTTAGATGCTTAGGACATCTGGAACAGAAAGAACATTAGCAAGTCTTCTTTCTGAGTAGAGGCTGAGTTCCAAGTGTGGTCATGGGAGACACACAGTGACTTGAAGAAGTGATGGGTGCTTCTAGAGATGAGGAGGAAATGGAAACCTGGGTGACGTGAATTTGGATGAGCCATTCACTGGAATGCTGAAGCCATCCGGGAGCTTGCTAAGTTGTGGCGTGACGAGGGACACAGTGAGCTCAGTGCTAAAATCCTGAACAGAAGTGACAGGCTGAAGGTCGGGAGATGACAGGAGGGCAGCGGCATCAGAAGTGGTCTGGTACACAGCCTGCATCTCCGAGGAGCGTGGCTTTGCACACACGTGGAGACAGTGGGGCACAAGGCAAGCGCCCATCCACCCTGGCCTGAGTCTGGGTGATGGGCATGTGGCCACGCGGCAGGGCCACAAGGGTTGTGCTGTGCAAGGCTCCGCATTCGGGGCGGGGGGTCACAGATGTGGGAGACGGTGCGTCCATTATCATGATCTGCCCGCAGCTCCAAGTCACCCGTCTTGAAGGAAGCAGCGTGTGGATGGTGGGGGCCCTGGCTGGGGCCTGAGGCCTGCTCCTGGGAGGAGCACAAGGGAACGGTGTCTGGGAGGCACAGGTTTCTGCAGGCGGGAGGGGTTGCAGGGAGAGACATCAGGGGCTCAGCGTGGATGAAGAGGTTCTGCAGGTCTTCTGGAAGGGTCAGGATGGGGACAGCGGGAGGAAGCAGGTAGCGGGTCAGGGAGAGGAAGGAGGGTGGGGAGACAATGGTCACATGGGGCCCTTTGTCTTGCGGGTGACCAAGGGTGGTGGAGACACGGGATGGGGAAAGTTGACTTTCCAAGGTTTCAAGGAACCCGGTGGCTGCCCAGTGGGTCAGAGACCTGGACTGGAGGGGCTGGAGTGGGTCAGGCAGAAGCTTTCTGGACCCCGAGAACACTGGGTTTTGGATTCTGTGCCTCTCTGGATCTCTGGAGGCTCAACCCGCGATTCACAGATGGGGCCCTTCCTTCGAGGCCTCAAGGGCTCACCGCTCCTCTCAGCCCCAAATCTTCCCTCTTTGTCCCTTGGGATGCCTCCCTCTCCCCCCGTCCCCTTTCCCTCCATCCCATCCGTGGGCTCTTCCCTGGACCGTGGCACCCCCTCACATGTGGGCAGGCTTAGGTCTTTAGGAAACACATGGGGCTCCCATGGAGGAAAAACAGAGGCATTTCAGGGGTTGCTGAAAGGAGCTTGTGATTTTTACCCATCAGCCTCAAGCCCATGGAGCCCAGGGGACACAGAAGACCGGAGGCTGGCAGAGGCATCCACACCGACCTTGAAGTATGGTCTTTTCTACGCTGTGGGCTGGCCTGGTCATTTCCCCCAGTAACCTTGGGTCTAATAGTAAAAAAAAAAAAAAAAAAAAATCATGTGATAACCTCTTACTTTATCAGGAGACATACCTGACTTATCCCTTCCTGGGTGTGACCCTGGGGGGGTGCCCAGTGCCAGAGGTGCGTGTGGCCTCTTTTCCACGTTGGCACCCTGGCTCGACCTGGCTCCGGCCCCGGGGCAACGTGGGAGCCCCTGCCAGAAGCCTTGCCTGCGGGCACGGCCGCTCGGTCTCTGCCCAGTGGCCTATCTCAGCTCCTGTTCCCAACAAAGGACCGAGGGGTTGGTGCCACAGGGGACAGAGAAAAGCTATTTGCATTTGCTGAGCAAACAGAGAGGACATTATAAAACAGCTGATGGCAGCGGGCGGTGCACATTCTGTAGGCGGCCCTGGCGAGCGGCGTGGACATGGGATCTCCAAGCGTCCAGCTCCTGGCCATGCTCCTTGTCCTGGGGCTGTGTGCCCTGGCGGGGGCCCAGAAACCTTGTAAGTGACCGCCCACATGTCCCCCTGTGCAGCCCAGTGTCCTTGACTGGGCAACAGAGCATTCGGGCCCGAGAGCCGGGAGCAGCTCCAAATGCAATGTGGGTACGCTAGTCCCTTGGCCTTGGTGCGTCTCCGCTCTTGTTTTCCTCAAAGCCACGGGGTGGAATGACGGGCTCACTGGGGTGCAGAAGTAGCTAAAAAGGCATCCTAAGCTCTGCGATGGGGCTGATTGCCCTCGTGCATCCTTCCCTGCCATTGAGGAGGGACTCCCAGGGCTGTGTGAGACCTCCAGAAAGGCCTCCTTCCCAGAAAAGGTCAGGGTGACCACAGGTGCTTGGTGGCCGGCTGGGGAGAGGGGCCGGGGCAGGAGGCCCCCAGGGCATCTAGAACCCACCCCGATTACCTTCCATCTTGACTTTTCTGAGGTCCACGGTCCACCGTCTTTCCTGAAGTTTTCTTTTCTTTTCTTTTCTCTTCTCTTCTTTTCTTTTTTTTTCTTTTCTCCCTTCTCTTCTCTCCTCGTCTCTTCTCTTCTCTTCTTTCTTCCTTTTCTTTTTTTTAACTAATAATTTCTGCAAGGCCCTGTTTGTCCCTCAGGACATTGCATAGTTCAAATCCGGGCGAGATGAGACTTCGCAGTTTCCCCGTGTAGCCGCAGGACCCAGGGAGGAGCCTGAGCGTGCCCCCGAGAGCAGGCAGGGGGCATGTGAGGGGACAGGTTGACAAGGCTCTCTCCGCAGCCCCCTGCCGGTGCTCTCGGATCGCAGTGGAAAACAGGAAGAACTGCGGCTTCCCAGGCATCACCCCCGACAGGTGCTTCAGCATTGGCTGCTGCTTCGACTCCAAAATCCCCAATGTCCCCTGGTGTTTCCACCCACTCCCGAAGCAAGGTAACCGGCCAGGGAGCTGCCCCTCTTCCCGCCCCCGCCCCCGCCCCGGCCAGCCAGAAGGGAAGAGACAGCGGCCCCTGGCCCACTGTCCACACCTGGAGCCCCAAGTGTGGTTCAGTTAAGACTTCCGGAACTTTCTTCCGAGAATGAGGTTTACAGCCACGCACGTTCTCTTGGTGAAGGTCATTCATGCCTAGGTGCGCACAGAAGCAAGTGTGGGTGTGCAGCACACTGTGGGGGTGGGGCTCGGTACCCACGGCCACCAGTGCAGTGGGTCATAGGCTCCTGGGCCCCGAAAGGGGCGAGACAGACGGCTGGCTACTAGGTAGGGCCCTTTCTCTGGTGGAAGCATTGCTGGCTTTCAGGGCGCTCACTGCCCCTTCTCATCAGGGTACGGCGATCACCCATTCTGCAGATGGGAATATCGGGTCCAGAGAGGCAAGCTGAGTTTCCCAAAGCCCCGGAACATGGGGCCTGTGGCATCTGTGCAGACGCATAGGCGGCCAGCCCTTAGACGGTCCCTGGGGCTCGTGGTCGAGCAGCCCCTCATGACACAGGGAGGCTGACACCCGGTGGCGTCCCCGTGGGTGGGCGGGCAGAGACGCCGCTGGTTCCAGAGCTGCCCTCACTGAGAGTCCGAGGTGCTGCTTTCCAGAGTCGGAGCAGTGTGTGATGGAAGTGTCGACCCGGAGGGACTGCGGGTACCCGGGCATCAGCCCCAAGGAGTGTGCATCTCGAAAGTGCTGTTTTTCCGACAACATCGTCAACGTGCCCTGGTGTTTCTTCCCGATCCTCGTGGAAGGTAACGTCCTGCAGGACGGCCGATGGGAGTCTGGGCTGGGGCCCCTGAGCCCATCTCAGGAGAAGGCCGCTCTGAGGGGTTCTCTCCACGGTGACGGCTGCTCTTGGAGGTGCCGACAGCCGCCGGCATTCCCATGGTGGCTTGTGTGACGGCCGCAGAGAGCAAGTCACCTTAGGCACATCCCCGGATCCCGGCCCAGCAGGTGGCACTGCCCAAGTGACTGCCAAGGAGCCGTGGGTCGTCAGTGCCACTGAGTGTCACACGCTGTGCCGGGCGCTGGGGGCAGACGGGGAGCTTCTCCTGTGGGCCTCGCTGGGGACCTGGGAGCATGAGGGACAAGTTCTGCCCACGACGGCCTGCTCAGGGCCACCTCGGCGGGGGGGTGTCTGGTCCTCCCCTCCCCTGTAGCCACAGTGAATCTCCTGACTCTGAGTTGTCAACACCAAGGAAAGCTCCAGCATGTCCCCTAAGATGGGCAGCGTGCCCTTGCCCCTGCCGGACGCTTTCCCTTCCCTGTTTCAGAACATCGGGTGAGCCAAAGAGCTTGGCCTTTTTTTTGGACACTTGTGAGCGATTTTTGTGGGACCTAAGGGTATCTCTGAACAACTGCCAGTTATACCCCTGAGAAGTGCCCCCCCCAGAAGGGCAGACTCAAGGCCTGTCAGCGCAGACTCCCTCGGCCCCAGACACTGTCACCCACCCGCTGGCATTTCACACTTCTAGATTGCCATTATTAGGAGGAATCCCTTCCGAGAACCCACCAGGCTCCCCGGGTGTTTGGAAATGAAGATTGCCACCGCGTCTCATGTCTGCAGAGTTCCTGGCTTTCCTTCATCTGCTTTGTATCCTGGTTCAACAGACAGTTTCTTCAAATAAAGAAAACCCTTAAAATCTGCTGAGTTTCCTTTCGGCTTCGTTGACATGGAGGTGGAGAGACGGAGGGCGAGAGGGAGTGTGTGTGTGTGTACACGTGCGAGTGTGTGAGCGGGGAGGGGAGAACTCACTTAGCAGGTGCGCACCCCCAGAGCAGCGAGAGGGAACGGAGGACCCACGACCACTCCCAACCCAACCATTTGTACAGAAACTCAAACGACTTTGCCCCTGGAAACCTCTCGGAGTAATGCCTGATTTCAGATCGCAGTTATAAAATCGCCTCGCTGTTACCAAATACAGCCCAGACCATGGCTTTTGTGGGACGGCAGGCCACCATCCTCGGTCCTCGCAGGGGTGGGGCAGGGTGGGCTCCGACGTTTCCCGTCTTCCACTCGAGAGCAGCTGCGTCGTGCCAAAGTCTGGGCCCAAAGAGAAGGCTGCCACTGCCACCGAGACCAGGCCGGCCTGGGGGAGGGTTTTGGCACTAAAACCTCGGGCAGGCATCTCTGCGGAGGGGTCCTGGCATTCTTCAGTCCAGGGTGGGTGTGCAGGGGAAGGAGCCCACTGGCTTGGCCAAGGAGTGTCCCCATGGCCCACCTGCCACTTTGGAAATCCAAGGCCTCCCCTTCCAGGGTGGGGAGGGACCAGCGACATTGGCTCTGTGTGTATTGAGGGAAGGACCTGACCCCAGCCCACACCAGCTCTCGGGACACTTGTTTTATGAGTCAAGCCACTGCTGTGTCTTGTCTGGCTATGGCACACTCATCAGCTCCGGCAAACGCGGGCTCTTGTTGGACTCGGGGCCTCTGACACAGAACGGATGGCCAGTGGAGCCGGACGCCCATGAACTTACCACAGAGTACCCTGCCCCTCGCCGTGTCGTTCCGAGGGAGCACGGCCGGCCACACCTGAGGCCCACAGCCAGGTCAGGCCCCGTGTTTTGGAAACAGCCTTTGACATGCACCTTCTGGGACGCATGACCCTTCCATCCTGATACCTCTGGACGGAAAATTTGGGGTTCTGCTCCCAGCACTGGTGCCGAGGCCGGCTGGCACGCTGGGTTCAGTGCCAGCTCCTGGCTCGTGCCCTCCTTGGGCATTTTCTGGTCCTCGGCACCACCACCTCCCGCCATCGTCAGGCTGTGGGGGCCCCTCGGCACACATCTCCGGGTGCGGGGACCGGCCATTCTTCCTCAGAGTCCTCTCCTCACACGCCCTCCCCAGTCCCGCTTCCTTGGCAGGTGTCTCCCTGGTGCCATATGCCCCAGCTTCTGAGCCGACCCTGCGTCTCCCTTCTGATAACCGAGGGCAGCTTCCGGAAGAGCTGCGGTGGCTGTCGCCATGGGCCCCGGAGGGGCTTGGCAGATCTACTTCACGTCAGGTACTGACTCCTGTGGGTTATAGGTCGCTGCGTGACACCCCAGCATGCCACCCCCTCCTTGAGCTGGGCCACCGGAGGGTCCTCGCGGCCGTGGCAGCCATAGCCGGTGACCTTCACACCCACCCCATCAGAAAAGCCAACCTTCCTTCCTCCTCCTGTGATGGGGTAATTGCCTGGCCTGCTTCCCTTTCCCCTCGTCTGGTCTCCTCCGGGGGGACCCCGCTGGTAGGGGAACAGGGAGACTGGTGTCGGGGGTCTGGCAGCGGTCGCCCCCGACTGGAGCAGGGGCAGGGGAAGGCCAGCTCTGCCCCTCAAGCCCACTGTCCCCGTCTCCTGGATCCCCAAGGTCATGCAGTCCTTGCCTGGCTGGCTCAGGTAGAGAGATGCTCCGAGAAGATTCCTTCTGGAGAGTCTGGGCAGAGGTGACTCTGCCCTCCTGTCCTGAGAGGACCGGGCAGGGACGCGTTGAGCATCCCCTTCAGTGTGCAGAGCGGTGCGGCTGCGTCCAGAATGGGGATGGAGCCCAGGACCCCTGCTCACTTGTTACATTCACACGCCATGGACGGTGGCTTCTCTGTGCAAGGCAGTTGTGTTCTGTAACGTCACTGACACTGAATTAGCAAACTCTGAGCCATCAAGACTGGGGGAAAGGCAAGGTCAGGTTCCCGAGCGCCTCCTAACCGAGTTCATCAACGATCAGTACGTGACCTTGCTGGATGTGCGTTTCTGTTTCGAGACCATTTATTTCGTATACATTATTGATGTGCTGACATTGGACTCACGGCCACCAGCACTGTGACCCAAGCCCGGACACAGCTCACACACACGCGTGCACAGCAGGTCACAGCCTGCTCGCCCTGGGCCACCTGACCCCTCTTCCCCCCACCATGCATGGGAACCATCTAAAACAGTTACATCAACAGAAAGCACAAAAACGGGCATAAAACGAGGTACAAACAGGCCACGAAAAGACGCCTGCCTACGCTCCGAGAGCTGACATGAGAAGGCAGAGCCTCCCCTTGTTGGACTCCGGCTGGCAAAGTCCGTGTTACCAATAAATTTTAGCGAGAAAGTGGATTTGCAAATAGGGATCTGTGGATAATGGGGATCGGTCGTATAATCCTCAGACGTATTGCGTGTGTTGTGGAGGTGAGGTGCATACACACAGATACCCCAGCTGTCGTTTTGGGGCCCAGCCCTCCTGTTGACAACCCTCCCTGTCCCCTTAGCCTGAAGAAAGAGAAGGAATCAGGGAGTTGCAAAGAGAGGTTACGAATTCCATCTCCAAAACACAGATGCTACCCTTATGTTCTAGATCATCTCTGATTCGAGCTCACTTCCCAGCTGTGTACCTGGAGCAGGTTACTCAGACGTTCTGTGCCTAGTTTACTCATGTGCGAAGTGAGGGTATTAATAGGGTCGTTTTCTTAGAGGTTCGTTGTGAGGATTTGATGAGTTAATTTAGGAGACGAGCCAACAGCAGGGTCAGGCACATAGCGAGTGCTTGGTGAGAATGTAGCCAGTCCAGGCCTCACGCCCTGGGGAGAGGAAAGTGTCCCCACTGTCTCGGGACACAGTTCTGGGACCCTCCACGATCCCACCTGCTAATGCAGGAAGGCCAGTCCCTGCCGAGGCCCCTGCCCGGTGTCTCCTCCGGTGGCTCTGGCTGTGCTGTGGTCCCAGCGGGCTGTGGTCCCTGTCCCAGGCTGGCACGTTGCTGCTGCCTGTCCTCGGGAAGGGCTTGGCCAGAGGTGTTCCAGTGGAGTGGGAACTTGTCAGCCCATTGTGTCCCCCTTTTCCCAGCCCCCTGTCCCTTGCCCAAGGCTTGTCTGCGTCTGTGTGAACGGCTGTGGGAGGTTTCCAGGACATTCCTGGGAGTTCCCTGAGTCTCCGGGAACCCAGATGGTTTGTGGGCAGAGGAGTCGCCTTGGTGCACGGCACCTGCGAGAGCCTGATCCCCGCTCCAGCCCAGTCAGGCACCCCGGCCACTCAGACAAGGACGTGCTGATCCCGTGGCTCTGGGACAGGGTCACCAGCTTTCCCGTGGGTGGCCACTCCATACGATTTTCTGTCATTCACAGAGCACGGAACTTCATAAGTACTCAAACTTCATCTAGCACAGTCAGAAACGTGGCTCCGAGGAGAGGAAGACCCCTGTCGCGCTCGTCCTCCCTGGGACCCACGGCTCGGGATGTGCAGGCCGCTCACACGCCTGTCCTCCAGTGCCCTCTGCTGGCCACGCTGGGAGCGGGCTTCCCCAGCCTCCGCCGGTTGGGCGCGGTGGGTCTCCCGGGGCAGCGAGGGGTGCGGTGTCTGACCATACTTAGCCTCCCGAGGTGGAGAGAGTCATCTCAGTAACTCTTGTAAGTTGCTACACTGATCACATAAGCCAGATGGGGCCAGGTGTCCTGACGTGAGCGCATGAAGCAGATTCTGCATTTAACGACGCAGCTTGGGGGGTCAGAAAGGCTTTCTTCTGGCTGGAAGACCTGTGGCTTCGCTGGCCTTTCCTTTGTGCGCAAATGGAGACTCAGGGAGCTTGGGAGGGAGGGGGTTGGGGGGGGAGAGAGGGAAAGAGGAAGTAGAGGGAGCGGTGGGCGGAGGGAGAGGAAGAGAGGGAGGCGGAGGACGGAGACCGGTCTCTCTTCCTATATGGACACTAATCCTCTTGCGTAAGGAAAGGGTTAAGGTATGGGCAGGGAGAGGAGGGGGCCCCTGGCCTCCATCGGGAATCTTTCTCTTTGGCGGCTACAGTGTATCATAGAAAATGACCAAACTCAAAGAACGAAGTCATTCAGGGGGTTATCAAGGGCCCGCGCTCAAACCAAGATGGTACCAGAGACTCAAGACCACAAGCTTCCCCGTCAGTTCTCAATAAAACACCGCGCCTGGAAGCCCTCCGTGGCAGCCCATTCCGGCCCCTCTCACTCCTCGGAGATTTTTCTTTCCTTTCTGCTCTCGCCTGATCTTCTCCGTCCGCGAGATTTGTTCTTCGACTCCGCGAGACAAGAACCCTGCGATCCAGCAACACTCAGATCAGGGTCCTACAGTTATGACCTCATTTAAGCTTAATTACATCTGCGGAGTGCCCCTCCCCCATACCATCAATCTGAGGGTCGGGGTTTCAACATACAGACCTGGGGGGGGCGGTACAA